CTAGGCCACCGCTCTTTGATGGCACCAACTACACGTATTGGAAAGAGCGGATGAGAATTTATATCCGCTCAACCAACTTTCAGTTGTGGTTGGTCATCAAGAATGGCGAGGAAATTCCAACGAAGAAGGTCGGTGAAAAACTCGTCCCAAAGACCGAGGACGAATTTGATGCCGAGGACATCAAAAAGGTGGAGAACTACGCCAAAGCAATCAACATGCTGTATTGTGCTGTCAATCCTGATGATTATCGCAAGATCTCTTGCTGCACCACTGCCAAAGAAATGTGGGACAAGCTGGAGGTCACATATGAAGGTACGGACCAAGTTCGGGAAGCCAAAATTGACTTCCTAACGCAGGAGTACGAGATGTTCAGGATGAAGGAAGGTGAAAAGATCGATGACATGTTCGATCGGTTTTCAAAAATCATCAACGACCTTCACGCTCTCAAGAAGACGTACACCAACAGGGATCTCGTGAGGAAAATCCTGCGGAGTCTCACACCCGAATGGAGATCAAAGGCTGATGCAATCTACGAGTCCATCGGAGTCTCCAATGTCACCATCGACGGGCTAAGAGGTAACCTCAAAACTTATGAATCCACAATTCTAACCCCGTCTTTGGATGAACAAAAGAAGAAGGGTATAGCGCTGAAAGCAACAAAGGAGACCGTGGAAGTAGACTCGAGCGATGATGACAACGAGTTCGGACTCGTCATCAAGAAATTCCACAAATTCATGAAGAAGGAATTTGAGCGCAAAGGAAGAAAGCACGACGGGCCCCCGAAGTGCTATGGCTGTGGCGAGATAGGCCACATCAAGCCGAGGTGTCCAAAAGGCAAAAGCGGCAAGGACAAACCTGGCTTCAAAAAGCAACGAGCCTACATCTCATGGGGTGGAGACTCCGGTGACGAGTCAACTGATCAAGAAGAGGAGGAAGCCGCCAACCTCTGCCTCATGGCGCACGAAGATCAAACCGACGACGTTCAAGAGGTATGTACCATTTCTTCCGACTCTTATACTTTTGAAGAAATGCAAGAAGCACTTCATGAGCTTTATGATGAATTCGTTAGCGCTTCTAAAACCAATAAATCTTTAAAGAACGTCTTCCAACTCTTGAAAATGATTTTGACAAATTGGAAAAAGATAATGAAAGGTTGAAACAAGAAAATAAATTTTATGGTAAGAGAAGTGCTGACAAACCAGAAAGTTCTTCAAGTGAATGTGAATCTTGCAAGACTTTAAAAGAAAAAGTTGCAAGACTTGAGAGTACGGTTAAGAAGTTTAATACACCACACAAAGATCTTAATTTACTTCTAGACACCATGCACTTTTCTAAGGAAGGAATAGGTTTTGATAAAAATGAATCTAAGGATAAAAACGTTGAACAAACATCTAGAAAACCTCCTAAGGCTCAACATAAGAAAGTTAAAAAACAGGATAATAGAAAATCTAGTCAACCTAGGGACACTAGACAACTTAGACAAAAACCTAGGAATGAAAATGTGCATGATAGACAACCTAGGAAAAGTTATCAAAATAATTCCGTGCATAAAAATAATTTTACAAATAGACAAAATAATCCTAGAACACTTAGAAGGGAAAATTTTCAAAAACCAAATTTTTCTCAAAACAGGATGAATACGGTTAGGCCCCCTAGCAACTACTATCAACCTAGGAGGATGCATAACCCAAACGTAGTTTGTCATTATTGCAATAGGGTAGGACATATAGCTCCCGTTTGCTTTACTAGGCATAGGCATTGGGCACAAAATGAATCACACTACCACTTTGCACCTAACACTCAAGGACCCAAAAAGACTTGGGTACCTAAATCTTATTAAATCATCCTTGTAGGTATGCTTGAAGGCATCAAGTGTACTTTGGTACCTTGATAGCGGATGCTCCAAGCACATGACCGGAGATGCATCCAAGTTCCTACAAATCAAACCCGCTAAAGGAGGAAACGTAGTCTTTGGAGACAATAGCAAAGGAAAAATAATTGGGGTCGGCTCAGTAGGTAAGTCCGAAGACTCGTCCATAGATAATGTCTTGCTTGTTAAAGGTCTTAAACACAATCTCTTGAGCATAAGTCAATTATGTGACAAGGGAAACCGTGTGACCTTCGATTCAAAATCATGCACTGTAGAACGCCTTAGTGACAATAAGGTCATTCTACGTGGTGATAGAATCGATAACATTTATATGGTTAACTTAGACAAATCTCCTTCCGGCTTTGCTAAGTGCCTCATGAGTAAAGAGGAAGACACTTGGCTATGGCACCGAAGGGTAGCTCATATGAACATGAACCTTTTGAACAAATTGGTTTCACAAGACTTAGTAAT